AAAAGACCTATTAGATCATTTAACCCATACTCCCTGCCAATGTAGGGTTGTCCCTAAATTTTTTAGTGCTTACTGCAGTCAAGTTTTACAAGTCCCAATTTATTGGGCTTCCACCACCTTCCTCGGGAGACCAGTTCCACAGCAGAATGGATCTCAATCTCTGGCTACAGAAAGATCACCAGGAGCAGACAGTCTGTGGTGGTAAAGTACTGGGGAGTTAAGATATAGGACAGCAGAATTGCCAAAAAGCTTGGTGAGGAAGTGGGATAGGACAGGACATGAGGGAGCATACTTATTCATTGCCTTCCCTCAATGGTTTCTACTTTTGAAGCACTCAGAGTCGCTGATTAAATTTAAAGCTGTCATTCTCCGCAAGAAAACCCCAGGGAGGACAGAGGTGGAATCACCATCTGCTTTTCCCATAGGGTGAGTGCTGCCTAAGGTCCAAGGGGCCTCTCTGGTGCAGGAAAATGTGTAATTCACATCTTCTTGAACCAACTTTAGTAAATACAGTAATTATCTGGCCTTTATTTTGAACCTCCCTCTTCCAGTTCTGATACACACTGTTTTCTGTTGTTCCAATTCTCCTAAAGTAGAACAGTACATGAAGTTTCCCAGTCCAGACACAGACCTAACATGGGCTCACCGCCACCTCCTATCAATCACACTCCCAGTCAGATATCTCTCTGCCCAGAACCTCTCAATTATTGGCTGGCTTTTGGCAAGTTTAAAAATTTTAACTGCTTCCAACCAATAAGTGGGAGCTTTGCTAAAGCAAGACCCATGTCTTACTAGGGGAGTGTGAAGGAGGCAATCTGTGGGTTTGTGTTATTTTGGTTTCTGGATTTGTAAATTTCATATACTTTCTTTAGGAAGACTGGAAGAAAGAATTGTATTGACAGGGGACCAGGATTGCCATTTGGATTAAGTTAAAGACTTGCCCAGCAGAACAGCAAAATCTGGACTAGAGGAAATTTTTTAAAATACCGAGGACTAGGACTAGAAGTGAGAGATCCTGCATTTAGTGACTGGTTTCCTCGAAAGACTGTGAAGGTAAGGAAAAGAAAGTATAAGTTATAAAGCAATCAAGGGCATATAAAAGTTTTTGTTCTTGCTTTAATTAAAATCAGAAGAAAAATAGGAACTAGTGGGGTCATTTTTAACCTACTAGCATTATCTGAGAATCCTTAAAACCCTTGTCTACATTCTGGCTCACTCTAAGCTCACAAAAAATTCCTTCTTTATTGGCAAAATTATGATATATAAAATATATAGTATGCTCCTGCTAAATAAAATATACTCCTATAAATACTCATACTCCTCTACAAGTCCAAAAAAAGCCTCCCTCAAACTTCCCCTACAGTTGTTCTCACATAAAATCTTTTCGATTGCATTTCGATATGCCTAATTTCTGGCTTTAAGGGCTCATTTGCAGCTTGCAAATGACATGCAGAACTGGCCCCTAAAATAATTACTGTAATGAGAGTATTGACTCATAAAATTGAGAAATAAAATGTCACCACTGAGATTCTGAGTGAGGCACTCATTTTTGTTTGCATGAATTTTCGAGAAGAAACCTGTAAAATGGTGCCTGAACCACAATTCCATACTTATGTGTGGGTATGACAGCAGAAGAAAATGTGTGGCCAGCATTGGAGGGACAGGGAGAGTTATGCATGTGGTCAGAGAACAGAAAATAACGTATTACAAGACTAAAGGCAGGGAAATATCATAGAGGATCCACGGTAGACGTGGTATTTCTTGACTTTAGTAAAGCTTTTGATACTGTCTCGCATGATCTTCTCATAAACAACCTAGGGAAATGCAACCTAGACAGAGCTACTGTAAGGTAGGTGCAAAACTGGTTGGAAACCCGCTCCCAGAGAGTACTTATCAGTGGTTCACAGTCATGCTGGAAGGACATAATGAGTGGGGTCCCACAGGGATCAGTTCTAGGTCCAGTTCTGTTCAATATCTTCATCAGTGATTTAGATAATGGCATGGAGAGTACACTTACAAAGTTTGTGGACAGTACCAAGCTGGGAGGGGTTGCAAGTGCTTTGGAGTATAGGATTAAAATTCAAAATGATCTGGACAAACTGGAGAAATTGTCTGAAGTAAATAGGATGAAATTCAATAAGGACAAATGCGAAGTACTCCATTTAGGAAGGAACAATCAGTTGCACACATACAAAATGGAAAGTGACTGCTTAAGAAGGAGTACTGCAGAAAGGGATATGGGGGTCATAGTGGATCACAAGCTAAATATGAGTCAACCGTGTAACACTGTTGCAATAAAAGCAAACATCATTCTTGGATGTATTAGCAGGAGTATTGTAAGCAAGACATGAGAAGTAATTCTTCCGCTCTACTCTGTGCTGATTAGGCCTCAACTGGAGTATTGTGTCCAGTTCTGGATGCCACATTTCAAGAAAGATGTTGACAAATTGGAGAAAGTCCAGAGAAGAACAACAAAAATGATTAAAGGTCTAGAAAACATGACCTATGAGGGAAGATTGAAAAAATTGGGTTTGTTTAGTCTGGAAAAGAGAAGACAGAGAGGACATAATAGTTTTCAAGTACATAAAAGGTTGTTACAAGGAGGAGGGAGACGAATTGTTCTTTTTAGCCTCTGAGGCTAGGACAAGAGGCAATGGGCTTAAATTGCAGCAAGGGAGGTTTCGAGACTGGACATTAGGAAAACTTCCTAACTGTCAGGGTGGTTAAGCACTGGAATAAATTGCCTCGGCAGGTTGTGGAATCTGCATCATTGGAGATTTTTAAGAGCAGGTTAGACAAATGGGAATGGTCTAGATAATACTTAGTCCTGCCATGAGTGCAGGGCACTGGACTAGACCTCTCGATGTCCCTTCCAGTCCTATGATTTTATGCTTTCTACAAATTATAGAATTACAGATAGAAATCACATCAACCACCACATGTGCTGTGGACCCCAGTAGCTGCTTAATAACACATAGCAATACACCCAGTTTATAGCAGGAAGTAAAAGCTACAGCATTCCAATGGATGTTAGCCAACACCAGAGCTAATAATTCCACTTTCTGGCGGGTTCATTTTGGTCATTAATGTCTCTGGGCAAAATGCTGCCCTTATATAGACGCACAAATAACTCGCACTGGCTTCAGTGGGATTTTTGCATGTGTATCTGAGGTCAAAAAATAACCCTACACATATTTTTAATTAAACTGAAGTTGGAAGATGCTGCTAAATGAAACTGAAGAGATACCATTGTGCCCTAAAGATGGAAATATTCTTAACTAAAGCGTAAAAGGGTTTATTTGGAAAAACAGTAAACTATAAAGCAAAACATAACAAACCAAATCTTCAGACACCTACAAAATATATTGTATTATAAACAAGGAAAAAGTATACTGACATCTTGGTGACAGCTAAATGTTGAAGGCTCCCAGCTACGCCTCTTTCTAGCTGACCCATGCAGCCTGAGTGGTGCTGGAAAGAGCATTGAGAGAGGTGACCCTTGCTGCTAATCAGGTGTAGCTAGCAGCTGTCCCTATGCAGAAGGGCAACAACATTTGCCACTTCCAGATACCAGCCATCTGAGGCTGCTCTACCAACATGGACACTCTTTCCTGGTTTGCAGCTGTACAGGTCTTCTGAGAAGAGTGGAGGGCTCCCCTGCATCCTCTCCCCCCACCATATTTGGACTGGTCATAATCTGGATCAGAGAGAAGGTGAGAAGAAACAGGCAGCTGGTTAAGAAACACTCCTTGCCATATGAATAATTTAAGACCTGAGCATCTTTCTCTGAAGTGTCTGACACTTTTGTAAGTGAATGAAAACAACTCAGTGTTGCAGCCATACAGCTCTCATCTGGTGAGACCAAGCAAAGTCTCATTCAGAGACTAAAAATTCAAAATCCAAGAGTTGGCTGATTTGGATTTACACTGCTCTAAAAATGAACACAGGTATTGGCGGGGACACAGTTTTTTAATAAAACCCCCAAATACAACAGTGGCTTGGCAAATGGAATTTACAGGGATGACAGAGGCAGAAACAGACCCAAGTGTATGGAGGTGTTTGCAGTGCAATAGGAGAATAGAAATAGCAGTTTGGTAGGTCTAACATACATACTACACACAACCATGCCATGGGCGTAATTGTTTTTCCTTTTGGTAAATATCTTAACTTACAAGTCCTCTCTCTGCCAGAGGCCACTTGAATGCAGATGATTAGAGAAAAGGGTGGTTAAATAGAGTTTTTTTATTTTGGATTGTTGATCCTCTATGTAGTATCTTCCAATCCCCTTCCCATACCAATTCCTGGCTTTTTCTGTCCCTTCTTTTGCCCTCTCTTTCCTGACCTCTGACAGGAAGGCTCCTCATTATGGTGAAGGAAGAAAGTCGTGGAAGGCAGTGTGCACCCATGCAACAATCTTGTTACTGGGTCCCACTGCTGCAATATTCAAATTCCCTTCACGTGCTGGGGCCACATGTCTACAAAATTTGCATGAAATGTTGATTTAGTTGTGACCAGGCAGAGAGTCTAATGCTGATGTTGAAGTCTATAGTATGATCCAATAAGGTAAGGAGATTCAAGCAGGAAGAGGCTCTGTTGGTATTTCCAAGGGAAACTGGGGTTCCTAGGTAAATTTTCCCAAGCTGCAGAAGGTATGAGTGAAGCTCTGCGTTTTTCTTGTATTAACTGTAACCCCTCACTCATCCTTACTTAGTGGTACAACTCTGACAGATAATGGGAATTGGTTTGCAGAAATCAAAGGCCATTTCCTAATAAGAGCTTTCAGATGATCAAAAACATACTTAAGTTACTTTACAAAAAACCCACAAAATCAAAAATATGGTCATGCAGATTTGCAATGGATCTTATTACATGGGAAATAGATTAAATGAAAGGCTACTAACTGAAGAGATTATACAGAATAGTCCATACAGTAATATATTCAAACAAACATTCTAAAAAATTACTGAAGAAGTGATTTAATACTATGAGTCTAAATATTTAAAAAATATTTTTGACACATACACATGCCATTTTCTTTAAGTGAAAAGATGCTGTTAATTGCCAACTGTTAATTGCTGTTAATTGCTGTTAAATGCTGTTAATTGTTAAATTGGGATAGTCCAGACCACAAGTTTGTTAAACACGAACACAGAATACTATTTCACCCCCATAAAATTAACTGGATTATGGCATATTTTTTCAAAGGAAGCATTTGTAACTTTATTACTGGAATTGTTTACAATTACACTAGACAAATCACTTGAAAATATATAATAGAGTCCAATTTTGCACGCTTCAGGAAGTTGCTTAGGTAACATGTTGGGTTAACAGTTACAGTGGTCGCCCTTAAAACCTCACTGATTTTACCTAAGTTAAATAGATACACATTCTTTCTCAAAAACTCTGCTCCTTGTGTGTTCTCAAGGTTGTAGCCACTGACTTGAGACAAAAATACTTTCTTACTGCTCTTTTAATCCTCTCATTACTGAAGCAACACAGCTGAAGTCAGTGGAGTTACTCCAGTTTAACGTGGGCGCAACTGAATTAAGAATCCTTAATCCCAGTGATTCAAAATATTGGAGAACAACTGTCAATTTCCAGACAAATTTACATTAAGGTGGAGTTAGTTGAGAATACTGATCAGTAATTTAGGGATAAAACACATTAAAGGGATGTTGTAATTTATCTAAAATCGAGCATTGCAAACCCATGAAATTTTGAGTTAAGGTTACACTTAAAAGAAATCCACACATATTAAGATAAGGAACCCAGATACCTTGCCATGTAGTGACATCATGCAATAACCATGCCTTTGTCATGAAGGTATTTTAATGTCTGGTCCAAGTTTAAACTGAACTGATTTTTAACAACGTGATTTTTTTTCATTTTTCCTCTTTATAGCATCACTACCTCCAACCTACTCCCCACAAGGGTCACCAAGCACTCCTTGGCTGAAGCTAAGGAGCTGGTCCAACATTTCGTATTGATAGAAAAAACTATTTTTAAAACAAATATATTGCTGGTGAAAAGTGATGAATTACCAGCAAAAGGAGTTCTCAATCAGTCTCCAGAACTGCACAGAAAGTGCAGTGCCAGCTTTTTTGTTATGTTCTGCCAATACATTTCACCTTGTTTTGGATACGCCTTCAAAGGGATCAGAGAGTAGTTTCATATTTCATGGACTCCCTGCTGAGACTGCCAACAAAAGGTGTCAATGGCTAATGCCTGAAAATACTGCTGAGCTTCAGATAAACTTGCATGTGTCATCCCAACTTTGTTGGAGATCAGTTGCAGCCTAGGGGTGATTCAGAAATCTAGACTGTTTCATGAAAAGGAAGGTGGCAGGTTAGTTCAACGACAACTAAAAGAAAGTAAAATGTGGAAATAAACTATCCATCACATTTCTTATTGTGTCAGTTGGCTTGACAAATGCGCATCATGCTCTCAAATTGCCAGTTGCCAAGAGTATGAAGCCTGAGGGGTTGCTGTAGAGTTTGGAAACCAAAAATCCATTACTGAAAAAGAAAACAGATTTTTTTTTGAGAGAGAGAGAGAAAACTTGAAGCCTTGAAAAAAAAAAATCAGCAAGACTTGATTACTCTGATTCACAGTGTCAAAATGAACTCCCTACCAAGATTTTATCTGGTATCTCTACCGACCTGTTCAACAACATAAAGTGCATACCATTGCAGAAAACTGTATCATTATATGCACAGTAGGTATGGTTTCAAAAGATATAGGACCTAGAGCAGCTACCAAATTTGAAACAGTAGTTCTGTCAAATAATGCTATTTCATACTGTATTAGCGGCATAACTGAACATCTGAGAGCAATTGCTTTCCAAAGCCAGGAAAAGCAAATACTTAACAAATCAACCTAAGTCAACTGATGTCTCTGGTGCTGCAGAGGTTCTGGCATTTGAAAGAGATGTTTCTTGAGGTTCTGTTGAAGGCAACTTACCAATTTGTAAAGTTGGGACAGGATAAACAAGAGACTGCTTATCTGAGACAATAAAAGTTTTCCACATTCACTGAAAGCCATGTATTGCCATCTGTGGGAACAGTGCCAAAGCAATGACAAGAAAGAATAGCAGTCTGGTCACATGGATGCAAAACACCACACATAGTGCCTCATAGCTTCAGTGTTTCATACACCACCAATTTCTTGCTGCTAAGAAAATGCCTGGAAATCTGTGCTAGATCCTTCATGAAGCTGTTGAAGCAGTGAACTTCATTAAAACCTCTCCACTCAATTTTCTGTTTGTCCTATTCTGTGATGATCTTTCACCAGCAACTCCTATTTCACACTGAGGGGAGATAGCATTTTATTTTATGAGAGCTAAGTAGAATCTTCGAATTAGGAGAAGAATGATCATCAATCACCCCTTGCTGATGTCTTCAATAATTCACCTTGGGTGGTAGGCTTCAATTTGAGTTGCCATCTTTGAGCATCTACATGAGCTGATTCTTCTCTCCAAAGGAAGAACGGGAGTGTCTACGCACAACAGGGTAGAATCATGTATCAGAAAATTTGGAAATCTATGCCCTCTAGTCTGTAAAAAAAGAAACTCAGATTAGCCTTCTGTTTCAGACTTTATCAAGGTAACCTGGTCAAAACTCTCAGGAACTCAAATCAGAATCTAAAATAAATTCAGATCCAGCTTCAGGACTATGTTTTTGATGAACCACGAAAGAGAAAAGGGTGGATTACCAACCCCTTTGTCTATGATGCAGATAACTCAGTAGCACTGACTAGGCCACTGCAAGACAAAGGGGCAGACTTCTCTTCTGACAACATCACTTAGCTGACTTTCTCTAGCCAAAAACTCAGCTGATTTTGGCTGCCTCTGAAATAGAAGGATCCAGCTTTAGTTGTACAAACTATTAAAGCTCTCATCCTACTTTCATCCTTGTTTCTTTAAGTCAGGTTTCTCTTCAGTGGTTGTGATAAAAACAAAGTATAGGAATCTCTCAAGTGAAAACAAATGTAAACTGTGCATTTTCCGAATGAGGCCTCCTGTTGAACATATCGCAACAGCCAAGAGAGACGCATCCATAACACTGAATTGCAAGTGTATTTAAAAGATTTCACACTCCTTTTAATTTAGAACTTCATATTCAGTTATCACAGGTGTGGTTATGGTTACAAAAAAATTTGCCTGCATTTGAATGGGGTTTAAAGTCTTGGGGGGAAGATCACAAAACATTTCTTATTACCAGCTCTGAAAGTCTGAGGAATCCTGACCTAAGCTACCAAATAGCCATGATGTAAACAGTCACATATGAATTGAATTTGAACCATTGATTAAAATTATTCTGTTTATTTATGTGCTCTTCTGCAGATGACCGTATATTACCTAAAAGGGTAAAACAAATCTATATGCTCTTTTTATTTAAATACAGCGAAATGAAATTTAAGCCATGGTAAATTACATATATTTTTAGAAGCCAGAAGATTAAATTGCCTTCTATTTAAGTACACTGGTATTTGCATTGTCACAGTATATTATATAGATTTGATGCATAACATATAACTGTACTAATCTTGGAGGTAATCATAACAACAAGAAATGTTGTTTGGAGATTTTCTATTTTTATTTTTAAGAATAACAAAAACCTTTCCATTGAAAGGCCACATATAAAACTATGGTTTCTATGCAGAGAGACCGAGGCTGCTTATTACCTACAGTACGCTAGCTATGATGAACAGACCACCATAGTTGTGACAACTAATGTAGCTGCCTCCAGGGTAAAACAAAGGTTTACATATTACACAAGCAATTTAACTGTTTTCTAAACATATTGCCAAGACAGTGGGAGTTGGCAGCCAACACTGTGTTTTAGGTTTTGGATACTTGGATTAGAAGTGACTTCTGATTACAGACCTTTTTATTTGTCTTCTACGAACTACAAGCAACCTAGTAACCCAGCAAAGAATTCTTCACAGCACTTAAACTGGTCTTCATGGCTTCCCAGAGATTACATACACAAATCACTCCACAAAAGTGGTATAAGAGTCTTGTGCATAGATAATGACACAAGACAATTGTCTTGTTCTAACTCTTAAAGAGTAGCTGAAAGTGAAATGTTTTATAATCCTTTTTGTGCAGTAGTCAAGGAAGAAAGAAAAGAGTTTGGGCAAAGATTATCCATAGAAAGACTTTTTTGGGGTTACAGCTGAAACACAATAAAGAACATAATTAACTTCACAATTCTTTGTGTTTTTCATTTGACTGCAGGGAGGAGATGAAAGAGGACTGTTAAGCCTTGCATTCCATCCCAATTATAAGAAAAATGGAAAGCTGTATGTGTCTTATACCACCAACCAAGAACGGTGGGCCATTGGACCTCATGACCACATCCTTAGGGTCGTAGAATACACAGTATCCAGGTACCATTAAAAGTCAAAAAATCAAAAACATTATGCTGTTCAGCACTCTTCTCTCTTTGGTATTCCTTATTTTTGAAATGAACCATAACATTTACAATGGGTTTATTTTGGTACCTTCAGGAAGTACCACTGGGTTAATTTCAAGCAATAGTTTTGAAACAGCAGTGAGTATATTGCCTCATTCTGTTTTTTAATACACTTTCAATTATCATTTTTATTACAGTTGTTCCCAAATTATCCTGTGTAATATCTTTTGTGACAGCAATTTCTGTGAAATTGTTTGATGTTTTACTGTAGAGTTACAATAGCTGTTCTGTCATTTGACTGAATTTAAGTTTATTAGTAAAAACAGGAAATCAAGAACGGCATGTAGCCGATCAGTGGCTGCTAGCAGCAAGTATCTCCAATTGGCTCGTGATGGGACACGAGATGGGGAGGGATCTGGGTTACCACAGAGATTTCTTTCCCAGGTGTCTGGCTGTGGGTCTTGCCCATGTGCTCGGGATCTAACTGATCTCCATATTGTCAGAAAGGGTCAGAAAGGAATATTTCCCTGGATCAGACAGACAGAGACTCTGGGAGTTGGGGACAGGGAGGTTCGCAGTCTGGGGCATTTGTCACTTGCAGGTTTAAACTAATGTAAATGGTGAATTCTCTGTAACTAGAAGTCTTTAAACCATGATCTGAGGACTTCAGTAACTCAGCCAGAGGTTAGGAGTTTATTACAGGAGTAGGTGGGTGAGGTTCTGTCACCTGCAATGTGCAGGAGCTCAGACTAGATGATCATGATGGTCCCTTCTGACCTTTGAGTCTATGAGTCTATTTTTATATCTTCATACCACAGGAAAAATCCACACCAGGTTGATATGAGAACAGCAACAGTGTTTCTAGAAGTAGCAGAGCTACACCGAAAACATCTGGGAGGACAGCTTCTGTTTGGCCCAGATGGCTTCTTATACATTTTCCTTGGTGATGGAATGATCACTCTAGATGATATGGAGGAGATGGATGGTTTAAGGTACAAAACCTGCCAATGGATAGATTCCTTTTTCTTAATTATTTGTCTTCTGCCTTTCAACAATAATTAGGGTCAGACATTTGAGTTCCCCCAGAGTTGTGACCAGTCACCACAAACACAAAGGGACAAACCCTGCTCACCTTACTCATGACACTAAGCATCATTTACTTCGGAGCATGAGTTAAGCAAATAGTCTCAGTACATTCTTGCAGCTGAAATAAATCTTTTCATACATGTGTGTTATCAAAGCATTTAATTATCTGTCACCAGCAGTTGTGATTAGATTTAAACTAGGGCTGTCAAACGATTAAAAAAATTAATCACAATTAATCACAAGATTAAAAAAATAGTCCCAATTAATTGCAGTTTTAACCGCATTGTTAAACACTAATAGAATACCATTTATTTAAATATTTTGGATGTTTTCTACATTTTCAAGTATGTTGATTTCAATTACAGCACAGAATACAAAGTGTACAGTGCTCACTTTATATTATTTTTATTACAAACATTTGCACTGTAAAAAGGTAAACAAAACAGACTCTGTGTGTGTGTTGGGGGGAAGTGTGGGTGTATGTGTGTGGGGGGGAGTGTGTGTATATGTGTTGGGGGAGTGCTCTCTCTTTAAGCAGAGCATTCAAGAGCCTGAACACTTTTTCAGCCAGCAGCAGCTGCTGTCAGCAGCTCTCACTCCTGAGCTAGCAGCAGCACAAGGCAGGCTCCCCCTGTTCCCTGACCCCAGCTCAGCAGCAACTTGGTACATGGGTGGAGGAAGGGGGACACCCCGACATCAGCCCCCTGCCTCCCCCACCAGCACCCCTGACTGCGCAGCTGACAGGAGGCAGGCTCCTGGTCCAGAGCAGCTTGGCCAGGGGCGGCTCCATGGAGTGGTGGGGGCAGGAGGAGCAGTGGAGCAGGACAGCTCTCCCAGAACACAGAATGGCCCCCCTCACCCACCCCTAAGGCCAGCCCTCATTCCGAAGTCTCTTGTCCCTGGTCACCTCCTGCTCGCTGCCACAGGCTGTGCCTCACTCCCCGCCCGGCTGCCGCCAAGTCCCATCTCCAGAGGTGTGCTATTAACACTCATTAAAAAAAAACAACCACCATTAATCTGTTTTGAGTTAATCGCATGTGTTAACTGCAATTAATTGACAGCCCTAATTTAAACATAACAAAGGCTCCCTCTCCTAAATAATTTTTTTCCAAACAGGCCAATTTAAAGAAGCAAATGTGCTGTAAAAAAGGTTACAGACACATACCGAGGTAAATCATGGCCCTGCAACAACCAGAAAAACATCCAGATAGCAAATGAAACAATCCTATTTCGGGTGCTGCCCCTACAGCTTTGTCCATCTACTTGTCCCTGGTTCATTGTGCTAAACTCCAGTTGGAATAACACTTGCTTTGTCATTTAGAATAATTAATGTATGAGTCCAGATGGAGAGATCTTCCCTCATTAACTGACAGGAGATGCTACACTCAGAGGCCTCATCACCACTGATAGACAAGCAGATGTTCTGTAGCTTTTGCAATAAGCACATTATCAGTGGCAAAACTGAAGAATAATTCCAACATTTTATTTTAAATGTACATACAATAATGGGAGACTGAAACAGATTGAGGTTTGGATATGGGGAAGGACAGAAAGCAATTAATTTAAATATTTAGTTGATGCATGTTTTTGAAAAGACATTTTGATAGTATAATATAAAGTTGAGTTATCCTTTTCCCATCCCATCATGAACATTATGAGAAAATGTTTTTGCCTTGTTCTATTCCTTGTGACAAAAGAATTCTGTTCACTACTAGCTTCAACATTTCCTATCAAAGCTCCATTCAAAGTATGAAAGAACTTTTATTTTTACATAAGCCACAGTTAATCTTTGGAGCTCACTCCCACTAGATATCATTCTTGAATCCAAGAACACGATTTAAAACCATATTAAATACACAAACACACACATTATATTGCTATATAATGAGTACATCCACAGTTACCTTAGAGAGGATTAAACATAAGAGGGATGTAAACCCTCATGTTCCAGGGAATAAACCAATTGTCAGGGTTTGAAGAAAGTTCCCCTATTGGCAAGTTGTTTCATAAAGGAGCACCAAGTACCTCCTTATAAACATAATCCTGCCAG